CTCTCTCTCTCTCTCTTCGAGAGTATGTTTGTACGTGTGTGTGTGTGTGTGTGTGTGTGTGTGTGTGTGTGTGTGTGTTTGTGTGTGTGTGTGTGTGTGTGTATGTGGAGGGAGGGTTACGTGCTTATGTTCGAGTGATTTGTGTACATGTATATGTGTCTGTACGTTTAGATATTATGTGTAACAATAGGCCTATTCATTTGCTGCTTTTTTCGTGCTCAAATATAATGATAATGCTTGTTGTATCCCTCCCCATAACATTGCATACACTTCAGGATAAATTCATCAGCTCCACTTTCCTTGAACACTAAAAAAATGATAGTCTCATACTCCTCCCCATCCCACCCGTACCCAAATTTCTAAGGTTGTGAGACGGTGCTACTAACGTGTTTTATCACTTAATGCTTCTTTCTGCGTTGTTTTTACTTGTTTCGTTGTTTTTCTTGTTACTGGGTGCTTAGATGAAACAGACGTGCAAAAGAACTCTTGAGAAATGCGATCTGTTTTAATGAAAAGAAACAATGTATATGTGAGGCAGCGTGGTGGAATCAGGCACTCGTCAATTTTTGAGCATGTAAAGTTATTGGTATCATCTTAAAACTTGTTCATTTGTCTTTATTTGGATGGAAAAAATATCCATTTATCTTGAATACACGTCGAGATATTTGCAAAAGAAGGAGGCGGGGGTCAGTTGTTTTCAGAGGTAAGATTAGTTAGAAAATGGCCACCAAAGTTTAGTTATTCCCTTCGCTTAAGAGTCCGTGGTAACTGAAAACTTACTTTTTTGTGCCTGTAATCAACGTTTTTCGGAACAATCCACACAGAAATGAGTTCTTTAATGAGCATAAAAGGTGTTGAGCCAAAAAACAAAAAAATTATAAAAGTTTACAAACCTGCATTAAAATGCAAGTTTCTTCACTTTGATTATTTTGACGAGAGCCTGATTCCACCACGCTGCCTCACATTTTATTTCTCGGTTTTTGTGCTTCTCGCCGTATAGTGATTACTCCATTTGGATGGACTGACTCGGTCTGAGAAGAAACGAAAATCGTTAGATTGTTTGAATGATGGTAACAGGGGAACTGTTGATGATGATGATGATGATGATGATGATGATGATGATGATGATGATGATGATGATGATGATGATGATGATGATGATGGTGTTGATGATTATGATGATGATGATGATGATGATGATGATGATGATGATGATGATGATGATGATGATGATGATGATGATGATGATTAGAATGACGACGTCGATGCTGACACTATTCTAGCTCCTCTTACTGCAACTGCTGCTGCTGTTTATAATATTTTTGTTCTTGGTAATTGTGTTGATTATTATGATGATGATGGTGATATTGATGGTATAATTGTAAGGAACATAATGTTCCTTTGCTCATTACGTCACGCATCTTTACCAGCGCTCCTTATAATATTATATGAGGCAGCGTGGTGAAACCAGGCGCTCGTCAAAATAACGAAATCGGAGAAACAGGTTTTATTCTGCCAGTTGGGACATTTTTATCGAATTTTATTTTTTGGATTAACACCTTTCGTGTCCATATAAAAACCCATTTCCATGTGAATTTTACTGAAAAAAAAACAAACCTTGAATAAAGACGCAAAATATGTCATTTTTTCCGTTTTGAAGAACTCTTTAGCTATTGAAGTTACCAAACTTTGGCGATCATTGTCTTGCTAATTTCACCACTTATCTATTTCATCAGAAGCAAGGCAAATGAAACAGCTTTCATATGGTACCAATAACTCCACATTCCCAAAAATTGACGAGCGCCTGATTCCACCACGTCGTGACACATATAGTATCACTCCCCTCCCCCCTCCGCTCACTCACCTTCCCCATGGGTGGTTGGCGCCGGACGCTCTCGTATAGTTTGCTGCTTTTTTGCTTTCAAACACCTATCGTCCTAAGTCTTTCCTCCTTCCTTTCAAACACATATCGTCCTTAATCTTTCCTCCTTCCTTTCAAACACATATCGTCCTTAATCTTTCCTCCTTCCTTTCAAACACTTATCATCCTAAATCTTTCCTCCTTCCTTTCAAACACATATCGACCTAAGTCTTTCCTCCTTCCTTTCAAACACCTATCGTCCTAAACCTTTCCTCCTTCCTTTCAAACGCCTATCGTCCTTAATCTTTCCTCCTTCCTTTCAAACACATATCGTCCTAAGTCTTTCATCCTTCCTTTCAAACACCTATCGTCCTAAACCTTTCCTCCTTCCTTTCAAACACCTATCGTCCTTAATCTTTCCTCCTTCCTTTCAAACACCTATCGTCCTAAATCTTTCCTCCTTCCTTTCAAACACCTATC